CGTTACACCGGTTCCTGAGTTCCATGTATGCATCGTGGTAGGTCTGACTCTTGAATATTCACCACATAGACGAAGCCTTCCACTTTGCTTGCAGAATACGTTGCGTGTCTCTTTTCATCCATGATGACCTTTTCTTCGGCTAGCCACGTAGGGAGGGGTAGACTTCCTGGTTGGGGTCCTCGGGACGGTAGAAACCAGTGGCTGGAAACAATTGGTGATATGGCTCAAAATCATTCTCAATAGCTGGTCCAGAGGCATTCACTCTTTGCGATTTATAACATCCAATAAAATTCTATTGTTCTTCTATATTTCAAAGTAATTTACAAAGCCAACGGAAACCTACCAAAAGCGATATGTTTCCGACATCTCTGTACCTCAAAAGCCCTCGCAATATGCATCGAGAAGCCGGAGCTGTGTGTTCAAAAGAAATTAGTACAACGTCTACAACTACCATGGACCTAGTTCGGTTTGTTCCTTTAGCTTCCGTACTTTTTTTCTTTCTTCTTTCGTTCTCCTCTTTTGATCATTTCTCGCTCGCTGTGTGATTTTTACTCCCTCTGTCTTCATCCGATTCACCCCATTTTTCCAGTCATAAAATACAATTATTTTAAGTTTGTTTCCATGCCTTTCCTGTTCACATTTATAATTCGTTTAAAATAACTATTTTACAATTCTATCTTAATCTCGTGCAATTTTTGTGTTTCTAAGGCTCTCGCAATCGACATTCGCACCTCCTAACTCCTATCTGAAGTTGAAAATTACTGTTTCAATTTTGTTTCCATGTTCATTTTTACACACTTGTTATCCCTTCTATTCCTGAGTAATTTTGTTTCTAAGCCTTTCGTAAATCATATCTAGTTGAAAATAATTGTCACCTTTTATTCGCCGTCGTAAATATGTGGAATCAAACAAGAATTGTATCCTTGTAAAATTATGTATTTAAATGCTATTGTACAGCTTTTGAAAATGCAACCGCCGAAAAATATCTTTGCTGAACTTCGTGTTATCTTCTTTCTAAGGTCACATAAGTAGTTGAGTGTTTCGAGCAATGGGACATTGGTGAATAATGACACTACATATTGTGATATCAATTTCTTTCCCACTATATTTAGCTTTTTGACGGTTTCTGACAAGCTAAATACGTCTTTTACGCTGAAATTCACTAGTTCGCTATGTAAAGGTTTCAGTGCCTTCATCAACCACTGCTTTGGAATGACAGGGAGATTGATACATATCTAGGATGGCACACAGTGGTACCCCGGACTTGTGGACTTTATTTATTAATTATTCATTTATTATTATTTCGGTGAACCATAAAGTCGGGGCGTGTGCGTCGCTAAGGTTTTCAATTCGCTGAGCGTACACTTACGAAACAGATTACTCTCAACTAGTGATTTTTAATATCTCAGTCATTTGGCGTTCAGTTGTGTCTTTACAAATATTCAGTTTTTGAAATTTCGTTTAGTCACTTAAAATGAGCTTCATTTTGTCTATAAAAATACTCTTATTCATGAAAACTGTACCAGGTAATTTATCAGGTCCTGTTATTGTCGGATTTTCCTTCTTCTTGAGGTCACGTAACACCACAGTGGTTCTTTTTAAGTAGGCTGTTGACAGAATGTTTGTTTTTCTTAAACTGATGGCAAAAATCGACTAGGGTACTTTTAAATATTTTGAGTTCATATTTGGATGAAGAAATTTGGTCGTTTGTCTGGGTATATAGGTTTTCAGACTGAACACTGTCTTTAAATTACTGACCTTGATTACGTCTCTCACAGAATTTTACACAGAGAGATAAAGCTCCAAATTATATCTTACCTAAGAATACTGAGGGAAAATTGAAAATATGCCAGTTGTAGTCAACTGGAAAATCATTTTCGGTTGTTTGTGTATCTGGTCCTGTGGTTAATAATATCAATTTCTTGTTTTTTTGAGCCCTCATAAGTTGATTAACTTGGTCAGTAAATAAATCCTTGAAGTTCTGAGGAAGTTCATCAACTGCATAAAGTCTTTGAGAAACATTTATTTTTAGTTCCGATAAATATGTATGGAGAGATTTGATCTGATTAACGGCAATTTGCTTTAATAACTTCTCCTTCAATCGTGTTTTGTATCGTTGAAGGTATTTTGAATATAATTCAGGATACTGGCTGTTTGAAGTACGATTTCGAATACATTTTCGCTTTCATGAGCCTAGCACTATGCTTCATGTACTCACTGAGTGCCTTTATTTCTCTCCCTTTACTTCTTCTTTCCCTTTGTTTCATTAACAAACGTTCATTTCTGACCTTTTACAACTTCATGACGTTTCCTATGACTTCTATTACCTTAGGTTTAAGTAATGCTTTCTTAACTTGTTCATTTTGCTTCACTTAATTCATTATGAAGGGATGAGAGAGTCTTGGCAATCGTGGACCCAAGTGAACAGGATGGCAGAAAATAGAACAAAACGGAGATGTGTTGTTGAAACGCTATGTTCCACTCGGAACCCAAGGGAACAATAATAATAATAATGGTAAATTCATTATTATTTGATGATCGTTCACCAATAGTACTCTTAAGTTTACACCGCATCATCGTTACTATTTCACAATCATTATTGTTGTTGTTATTTTCATCCTTGTACGTCTGGTTTATTTTCTGTAGTATTCACATTATCTCACACACCACTGATTACATTCACCCTCGAAACCTGTACTTCCTTCAATATATATATATATATATATGTCTTAAATTGTTTCATCTCATTGACCGTGCATATTCAAAAACTAATTGACTATTGTTCCATCCCATCTTATACTTGTTCCACAATATATTTCTGATATGATTCTAATTTGCCTTTACTGGCTATTGTATGCTTAAATTAATGGATTTATAATTGTAGAGCTTGAATAAGAATTTATTGAAAACATTTGTTGGCTTTAACCATATTTGTTCCAGAATAAGTAGCATCTGTTATGAGAGTATTCCTAAATTAACCGACATGGGTGTCTATTCCGGTTTGTGTTGCTGGAATTTGAATAATTTAACCGTAGATTTCATCATGAACCGAAATTATATAAAGATTCACTGAAAAATTACAGAGTACCTGATACCTGTTCCAGCTATTTTATTCACATTTGAAACAAAATTAAAATAGAGTAGTCGTAATACTTAAACTCCCTTACGGAAGCACTCAAATTTTATCACAACTGGAAGGCTAATTTTTGGTGTTGCCGTGGTTTCTTAATGTTTGAAAATGTGTAGAAGTGAACTGTTAATTGATTGTTTAATATGAGCTTTCAGTGTTAACGTAACTTAATTCGCCCATCAAACTTTGTACTATCCAAGTCCTTTCATCATTTTTAACTATGGTCTGCGTTTTCTAAACTCCACTCTTGATGTTTTAATTAAGCTGTCCAAGTAACCGATGGTGTATCACTGTTCATGGCTTTTCATAAGTGATCGGAATTTTTTGATTACAGCTTTATTCCACACTGTATTTTTTGGTACAGGTATGGAATTTTCAGAATGTGATATCGGTAGCCCAAATTTTGAAGGCCAACCATAGATATCAGGAGTGCGTCGGTAGGGGATCGAACCCGGGACCATGTACATGGTCGGCGAGAGTCCTAACCACTGTGCCACCGACGCACAATTCTCCTAATGTTCACTTTGACTATTAAAATCAGCGTCAGTCACAATTTCCTAATAATTTTCTGTAAGAATTAATCTACTTTCCATCTGTTGTACCTCATTTTATCAGTCATAGTTATACATTTGTCTCCTATCTCCTCAGGACACATTACATATAGTATCTATCAAACAGATAAAAGTGACCATTGATTGATATTAACATGCTGTTACACATAACGTGAAACCGTAGCTTTCAACTTAATTTGTTAGTCTACTTGGAGTAATTAGAAGTATTTTTAAGGTTAACTTATACTTTTTCCGTTATCGGTACCTGAATCACTCATGAGGGCTGTCACAAAATTAATGAACAAGTTTTTTGTGACTTTAAAAGTCTTGTTTATGAAGGAAACAAACCGGTGTGTGCCACCAACCGCACTGTCAAAGTCTAAAACTTTCTGCGTACAGATTCTATTAAAACTAATGTCGGATGACAGCGCATCATAACCGTTCACTGTAGTGATGGGAAGACATTCGATCGTTCCATTTTAGACTAGACAGGTATATAGGTGACAAGGCAGAAACCTGTTGGTATAAAGAATCGCCTAAAACTGGTGAATAATATAAGTCATCTGCATCTCACTTTGAAACAGCTGATGAATGCATACAGTATACATAAAAGCACAGTATGGATGACTCAGTGGATAAATTAACCAAACCTGTTAGTCATATTGTAAACACATAGTGCCAATAAGAACTAGTGAGCGAGTAACCTAAATGTACCTAAATCCTTCTATAGACAAAAAAGAAATCGTCAATTAGGAAATAATTTTATACACACTGTTCCTGAAGAACATTACTCATAGTACTAACCAGGAACTGATCACATTAATTTTACTAAGTTTAATTTCTCTCTCATTGGTTATATTGGGACGAAATGCCTAGTTTCTGTTGACATGTCGGCTCGTAGTATGGGTGCTCCCATGGAGTCTGAAGTTTATAACACGGTATTATTTTAGTTGATGGAGACTAGCAACGGGACCAAAGAATCCAGATGACGAATCCAAAATAGGACGAAATTTGCATCCTGAATAGTACTGCTAATCACCACCAACCAAAATAGCATTAAGCTAATTTTAACTGTTCATCAGTAGTACTGCTAGAAACTAATGAGGGTTTAATAAGTGATTCATTCTGTTATGGAACTCTAAGTATAGGAATACTGAAATAAGAGTACTGATGGAGGCACTTAAGAGGATAATTTAAGCAGCTATAGCCATCCAGCTTTGAAATGGACAACTAAGTACACATAAAAATCGTATTTAGTGTTGCAGTCACAAGAAAACTTAAACATGTGCTGGTAATTGATCAGAGCGTATTTACAGTTTTATACACTGACCACTAGCTGAAAAAGTCTGGTTAGGAGTTCATCGCCAAAGCTAAAACATTATGGAGCACAGCATACTGTAGGGTGTGAATGAGAAATAAATTTATCAGTGGTAAACCAAGCAAAGATAAAACTTTATTTTCATTGTACAGTTGATCAGCAATGCATTGGGAATAAAGAATCATACCCAGTTGCCCCTATATGAGAAATTTGCGATCCGTAAAAATGTACATCTGCACACGAAAAGTTTACAAAATCTTGAATGTTAATAATAATAATTATTATTATAAGTAGTATGGTTATTATGCGTAGAAAAATATTAAGAAAAGCTGTGGATAAATTTGTAAGTTAGACTGTTACTGTTTTGATTATTATTATTATTATTAGTTAAAGCATATTCATTCGAATAAGAAGGCTAGCTCCTTTGCTTCTCTAGCTTCTGCATCATTTTTCTTGTCATCTGATTTATGTATTACTGGAGGCTGTGATCGAGTCACCAGTCTGCGCCCAGTCTATAGGATTTGTAAGATAAAGATTTTTTAAAAATAGACGTAATTAGTGCAATATCAATTTTCTTAAATGACAAAATAAACTGTTCTTTGAAGGGATTCAGAGAAGACTGAATAACTAAAACATCGTCAAGAATGAGAATTCTGTTTTTCATTGAATTCACTCGTAAGCTCTTTATTCATCAAATGCACTTTAGAAATCCGAATATCTGCCAAAAATTGTTCATTTGTTTTTAACACTCTAGAATGAAGGTATATAAATGAGTATACAAAATAAATGTCTTCTGTGAATGTATTTAATTCTCCTTGATGATATGTTTAACTGCTTACGAAGACCAAGTTGACCTAATACCACAATTTAATATCTCCTAAATTATGTAGCTTTTGAGTGAAATTATTTCTAAACAACCGGCTCCTCCGTAGTGACTTCGAGTTTTTCACTAAGAGGTTCTGGTCACTGAATTCTAGTATCTCAAACCGCTGTTCTCACACTCTCTCAAATAGATTGCATCAACAATTAGATAATACGTTGAACAGTAAATTGTTTTGTGCTAAGAAATCATAGCTTCCCTCATCGAAATCCTACATCAACTAGTATTGGTGAAATAAGACCCTGTTACTAGGTAAAAAGTATCCAGTTCTAGTTTTTTTTCAGTAGGATACAAGAAGCCAACAAATCAGCAATATGATACGGGGTTATTGGCCAACTAAGTAGCTGCGTGTAAGACATGTGTGTAGACCAGACACACCAGTTGATAACTGATTCAGTTGTTTGAACCTTACTGTGTTTAGTGTGATGTGACTGACTGTCTGGTTTTTCAACGTAGAATCATGAAAAAAAGTCAAGCAGTTAAAAATTGCCACAATTCACTTACTGATTCAGTCACTGGTCTAACCGACACGATAATGCCACGGAGTCTTAATTGTCCTGATGTCTGAACTAGCTTATGATGTAAGAAAAATCTACAGTAAACAAAAGTTTTCAATGATTTGTGAATCCTGATTTCAGGTAAGTGATTATTGCAATGGTAAGTGAGTTGACAATATGTGATGGTTAACGAAATAACTACTGAAATCTTAAAATGGGACAAAATATATATGAAAGCAGAAATTCCTATTTGTAATAATGATTTCGGTTGATCCGTTGAGTTCAAAACAGTTTTCAACACAATCTAACATCGCCCACATAATCATCATTCATAAAATATAGCTAGGCAACTCCCCTGTTCTGGTTCACAGCACACAATCAATAATACTTACTAATAGCCTCATTAGGTGTAGATAATGCATACAGTCCAGTCATTCATTTACCCAGATTTCCTCATTCTTTTAAACTACTGGTCATTGTTAACTACTACTAATTTCTATTATTAATTATTTACTTGTTTCTTTGGTTCAGCTTTTGCACGTTCTAACGCCTTTTGTATTCGCTCCTCTTGATATATCCGTTGTTGATTCTTCTTCTCTTCTTTAATTTGTTGTCGTTGTTCAGCTTCTTTGGCCTGTTTCACTTCCTTTACTTCATCTTCAGGAAGCGTTTGCAGAAATTCTAGTAGGTCAACCATTTTAGCCTCAATTTCGTATAACATTTGTAGTGAACTAGAAATTAAGAGCCAATAACCAAAACATGCTGTCTTATTGAAAAACACTAAATTTTACTTAATAACAACTGAAATCAACTTTTTGATAAAAAAAAAGAAGGTAACTTCATTCAATAACCAAAAAGAAACCATCAGAACCTGTGAATAAGTTGTGTTGTGTACTTGCTGTTATTCACCACCAAAGTTTATGGAAGGTGTCAAAAATCTAACAGTTTTCCTCACATTTAAACACAACATTAAACACTCTTAGGAAGAATTGATCACCCTGTCGTTAATGCTGAGGATAAATCTAGGTATTCAGTAATTTTTTACTCTGTCGACGTACTGAAGATGTAAAAGTGCATGTCAAATTCTCACTGCATATTACAAACGCAAATAAAATTGGTTACAGGATTTCATCATGAGCTGACATTGGTTAGAGAACCATTGGAAAACCTTCATCAGTACGCACCCACCAAGATTCGAACCCAGGACTTTCTGGTTACAAAGCGAGCTCTGAACTGATGAAGAGTCCCAAACTTGGGCGAAACAGCTGTCCAGTACGCCCAGGTTTTCCAATGGTTCTTTAACCAATGTCAGCTCATGATGAAATCCTGTAACCAATCAACCGAATCCCTACAAACCAATACTTGAATAGCAAATAAAATTTATGGGGACAGAGGAGTAAATGAAACAAAGCAGCCTTTAGGGCATACCTAGACAATAAAAGCCGCCCTCTGGTGGATTGAAAATATGAAATTTCGTAATATACTATAATGTGATACAAAATGTTTCCAGCTGGCAAGCAGAACATGTGACATGAAAACGTGGCCTTCAAAACGGTCACAATTTTAATCGGATCAGCATATTTAACCACCGTTGCTCCGAAAGTCACCTTTATTTTTAGCTATTTCTTTGACTTCAGGATACTGAAACCAAGGTTTCATTAGCAATAAATGCATAGTTAGGAAGTTTCAAGTTTCATCGATTGTATGTCTAGTGTATGCCTGGTTTCCTGCAAACAAGTAAACTGTCTTATCTTTTTTTTAATTCACAGGACAAACGTGAGTACTCTTAAGCGTTTAACGCTCCCCTTCTCTGACAACCGTTATTTGACTGAACCCTATTCAGAACTGAGAAGTACAGAAATTAGCAAAGACGGTTTCACAGAATAACAGATTCTATGGCCATCATATTATATGAAGATCAGGTTGCCAGTCACTTACTGTCAATATATTAAAAACTGCACTGGTGCTGCTTTGTGACAAAATCTTCCCCTAAACCACCAATCACATTCTCACAAATTATTAAATCTATAGAAAAGAACGTATCTGTCAGTGATATCATTAGGTTGTGGGTGTTGCTGAGCAAAATCATTCAATTCATTCAAGACAGTTTCTTTCAAAACAGACTAATCTAATGACACAGAAAGAGTCTGCAGGCTAACCCAGAAGTTACCAAAGTCATTTAACCATGCAAAGATTATCACCCACTGACCAGTTGGCTCACACAGTCATTTTCAGCCTCAATACATCTACTATTAACGATAAAGGAGAACTGACAAACACAAATTTATGAAGAAAACTAACTGCCTGAAACGTCTATTCTCTGTAACTGCTCCACACAAACTGTTAATTCATACTAAATTATACCGCATGGTAATGAGTAACTTCTCTGAGGATTGTGTGAATTCTCCATGAAACATTTTTAAATCATCCGGTTGAGTGTCTTACCTACACATTGAAGTCATAACACCCAGTAAAAAGTTTGAGCATTGTGGATTAGATCAAATAAAGTACAATTATATTTCAATAGTTTACACACAATGATAAGTTTTGTTATTGGTAGTATTTCGAGCAAAATTATTTCCCGTGTTCACACCACTGTTGGCAGTAATTTTGCTCGAAATATTACCTATAACAAAACTTATCATTGTGTGTAAACTATTGAAATATAATTATACTTTATTATAACACCCAGTACAAAAAACTAATACAAAGACACCTACGTAGAGAATTCTTCGACTCAACAGAACACATCGTTAGGATGAAAAGGTGCCTTGCTGATGTAAACATTAACCCACCACTTTATCTAGGAACTGATCAATCAGACACATACTACCTTTCACCAGGTAGATCCAGGCTCTATGAAAAGTTTGGTCGCTTAGCACCAATCTGTCACTTTTTATTTAATTAAAAAAGTAAATAAATGGTTGCCTTCTATTTCGGTCATCAGATAAATGTCTGAGGGCCTAGCTTTGAAACAAAATCGTTCGTACAAGACCAAAATTATAAACCAGTTTTCATACATTTAACACCATTTAAACAGATACTCTTGAAAAAGTAAATAACAAGCTACCAAAACGATACCTCAATGGTGTGTCAGATTTCCGAATAGTATCTCGATAAACCTCAGTAATAGTTTCATGAAGATCGTTCAAAATTAATTTCTGCTGTTCTGAATTGTAACCCGAAAATAAAAAGTCACTGAAACAGATTTTGAAAAGATTAAGGGAAAAAAATTTATTATTATTATTACGAATTCCACTACAGATATTATTTAGAGCATTATTAATCCTGTCAAAATTTTCAGCACTTCTACAGTAAATATTTTGTGGTGGTGGAGTTCCTTTTTTTGGCAGAACTGTGAGACATTACATTTCAGCCTCAGGGTGAGTCGAATGAAATACGCAAATAGATTGGTGAAAAATCCTGTAAATACATCGTCATCATCACCACCCATGTGTCAAGTTAGAAATGTCCGCTGTATGATAGATACTGTTGGATGATGATAAATATTATTCGACAACGAATTATGGAGTATAGAAACAGCTAATTATATTGAGTTTTACCAGTCGATACATGTACATATGGAGCATCTAAAAGTTTCCAGAATTTTCAACCTCCTTGTATTCCAACAGTTCTCTATTTTGAAGCTAACTAATTCCAAAGAAGGTCAACATAAGGACATGTTAAAAGTGCTATCTGGGATGTAAGCAGTTAAAATGAATGATATTTATGTACTAACTGTACCTGGTAGACATCAGTTGTAAACAATAAAACTGGTCGTACAAATGTATGAGAATCTATTTGTTTGTTGTTGTTTTTTTAATTTATATCTTTGGAAGATTTAAACAAAGACTGAGTTAAAAAGAAGTAAGATGAAATTATTTTATCTCAAAAAATACCACATTTACTTTCGAACACAAATAGTATTTAGCCATGCTAAGAGAGAGTTGACGAGTGTTAATCGACTGATGATAGAAGATGGGTGGATATAAAGTTAGCGAAACACAGTCAAATTAAATACAAGAAACAGAGATATTTTTGATATTGTTTATTTATAGAATAACCTGAGTTTTATTTTGAGACCAGCGAAATTACTCCAATGAGATGATGCCAACAAAACGCGTCAATAGATGGTAAACTGACAGCATTAACTATGTAAGCATGATTAAATACATTTATATGGACTTAAAAATATTACATGAGTTAGAAAGACACTGCTAGAGTAAAAACTCACGATGAAAAGGTGAAGAATACTGAAACACCACTATAAATTATCAATTTTATCATGTCTGCTTAAACTATCATCTGTCTTCGAAATAACTACTAGCACTTAGATTGACGAAACTGAAGAAGTTTGAGGTCATCTATCTGATATTCGAACAACAACTAAATATCACAATGGTGAACACGTATATAAATTCATCAAATTAAGGGAGTTTTCTCTATCGATTTGTAGACATCGTTTTAAACTTCTAGTGAACAAACCTTATTTTTACCTATTTCTCAGATGTTATTTCAAAGTGAGTTTCTATATTGATTTTGTCGAGGGTATTCAATGGGTTATTCAATTCAAATCAAGGCAAAAACGCAATGTATTCTCACTGATCCTAGCCTCAACTAATACGATTAATATATGCTGGGCATTTTCAGCGGTAATTTCACTTTGTTAGTTTATCAACTTTTCAGAGTTGTTTGATTCACTCTACAGATGCTGGCTATTGACTTGCTGTAGGATGGAGTTTCCTGGAGTTCAAGTGAGAAGGCGTGACCAGTGATGTCCACCTAGTTGGGAGTGAGGATGGATTTCCTGCCGATGACATTGGTTGGTAGTTGCGCTAAAATCACGAATTGGTAGAATTTAGAACTCATGAGTCATTGAATCGGGTCCCAGTGGTTGAATGGTATACCAGCTCGCCTTGTAACCGGAAGGTACTGGGTTTGAACTCCATTGGGGGCAGGATGAAACAGCTGTCCATTACTCCCTGCTTGTTTGCAATGGTTCTCTAACCGATATCAATCCGTGGTCAAAATCGAAAAACAAATCTAATCGTTACAAATCGACTCTTGATAACTTTACTGGATTGAATAGGGTTATATCAGTTTGTCGCTCCATTCTGTCACTTTTTTTGTTATCAGAACGCTAGAAGTGAATGAATGCTGCTAATTTTTCAGTAGCAAGAAAAGAAACCTCCAGAAAATAAACCAGCTGAAATAATTCACCGTCAGCTACTTTTACTTTAGGGTTTACATCTTTTTTTGATAAACTGTTGTCCAAGGTATAAACTAATTCAAAGTAAGCTATTTGGAATCCCTATTCACCTATTCCTATTTATATTTTTCAAAGAATTCTGAAGCTTTTTCTTTTTGTGTACAACTACTCCTTATCATATGAATACTGGTCCTTTAACACCATAGGGACTCACTACCATTTCCATTATTCTAGTGGAAGTAATACTTCACGTCTGTACGGTCTGCCCAAAATACATAAACCAGGACTTCCTCTTCGTCCAGTCCTGGATATGTCAAACTCTACCTACCATGGAGTGGCAAAGTGGCTAGGTGAACTCCTCCAACCATTACACAAGATGGTAGTAAATCATAGTGTTAAAGATGTTTTTGAATTTATTGCTAACGTGGATGATATTAATGTAAATGGAAAGCAAATGCTTTCCCTCGATGTAGCATCACTGTTTACCAATGTACCACTTATGGAGACTGTGGAATTCATATGCCAACAGATACTAGAAAAACAGATCGACATCGGAATACCGGTTAGTAGTCTGAAAGAGTTGCTTTTAAGATGTACTATGAATGTACATTTCATATTTAACAACCTTTACTACAGGCAAATCGACGGTATTGCCATGGGTTCTCCGTTGGGGCCAATTTTAGCAGATTTCTTTCTTGCCAAGATTGAAAATGGTCCATTGAAAAAAGTAATAGAAAAAGCTGATTCTTATTTTCGTTATGTTGATGATACCTTTATTATTCTTGATGTGAAAGCTGACAAGAATGAAATGTTAAAAAAGTTTAACGATGCACATCCATCGCTTATCTTCACTTGTGAAGAAGAATATGATGGTGGACTACATTTTCTTGACGTCCAATTGAGCAGAAGAGAGGATGGTTCACTAAAGAGAGATGTCTATAGAAAACCTACATCTGTAGGACAATATACACATTTCCTCAGTTATGTACCAATCCGTTACAAAATCAATTTGGTCAGATGCCTGACGAATAGAGCAAGACGCATCTGTACAGATGACTCTCTAGAGAATGAGCTAGGATACATCCAAAATACGTTAGTCGAAATGGGTTATCCTAGTAGATTTGTCAGGAGACACATGAATGCTAAGTACAATAAAGAGAAACCGATAACAGTTAAAAAGAAACAACTGTTCATCAAACTGCAATTTAATGGGGACGTGGCTAGTGAAGTCTTACATCAGAGATTATCGAGAGCGATAAAACAGACTTATACTGCCGCCACCCTCTGTTTGTCATTTTCCAGCCGGCCAATTTTGATTGCTCAAGTGAAAGATAAGTTACCTAGTTGTGCCACTTCCATGTGTATCTATAAATTTAGTTGCTCCTGTGGAGAAAGCTATATAGGCCGAACAACTAGACAGCTTAACGAACGCATTAAAGAGCATCTTCCTTCATGGTTCGGAAAAGGTCAAATAAAGTCCATACGAAGTTCTATTTTGGCTCATTTGATTGATAGTGGTCACCAAGTGGACAAAAATAGTGCTTTCAAAGTTATTTACCGCATTCCATCAAGTCTTTCGAACGGAATCAGAACCCGTCTTTTACACTTAGCCGAAGCTATGGGAATTCGAGAGAACAATCCTAGTCTTTGCATACAAAAGAAATTTGTTCTACCTTTGTCTCTCCCTTGGCCTAGGTGAATTCTATTCAAAACCCTCCCACCCTTTCTTATCATCCCTCTCCTTCGTACTTTTATGATATTTATTTAAACTCTGATTATCGTTCCATTTGATTTGACCTAATTTATTTATTTATTGAATTGTCTACATATATGCATATACTAACTTCGTTATTCTTATCACCTATATAAGCCTTATTAACAATATTTTGTTATTATTATAATCATCGCTATTAACTTCGTTCAAAACATTTACCACAATATTATAATTATTATTACTATTATTATTTGATCCACTAAATCACCGTCATTGGTTAAAATTTTATATATATAAGTCCATGTAAATTAGAGTAAAGCCTGAAGAAGATCTAATTGAAAACAATATTGTTCGCTTATATGTCTTGTTCTAATATATTTAACAGTTAGTAAGTCGAACATTGTGTCAGTCATTAGTTGTGATAAATACCAGTTGGTCGAATGGTATTATTATTACTATCAGTATTAAAACTATAGTCTAATCGATTAAAAAAGATAAACGCAAACCATGGCTTTATTTTTCAAAATGAAATCAACAATCCGTACAGTTAGATCAGGAGATTATTTTTGAACTGAAAAGTACCGCAGTATGACATTCGTTTCCATAATCCTAACACTTCAGTTGAAGTCTCACAGAAAGTATAAGTATATGTGTAACAACAGAAGACAAGGGCCGGGCAACAGATCGTTTTATTACGGAAATCAACACGTATTTATATATATTTCACATACACTATTATAGCCTATTCAAGTAGACAAACACCGTCTTCTGATTGGTTGTTTCTCAGAAGTAAGGCAGACAAACGCAGACTTCTGATTGGTTGTTTTGGGTAACCATCGAAAAGTGGAGCCATCTATCTGCGAATTATATTTGCCCACGTTAAGTTTGCTGTGATTGGTTGTTGAATCAGCCTTGCTCATATTTCCTCACGGCCCATATTAGTGACCTAGACATTGGCGTAGATTTATGTCTACCAATTGGCTAGCAGCCTGCTCTCACCACATATGCACTACTAATGAGCATCAACATGCTGAAACCAGCTTGATTACTGTCTCAACCACTTATTTGTTCCGCCATTTTATTCATTGAAATCCCTATACAAATTCATAGACTCAAGTAATAACATACAATCCATAATTTAAACTAACCTCATACTCAAATTTAAGCATTGAGTTTTAATTTTTTCCGAGTTAATGGCTTCTTGAAGGGAGGTTTGGTGTTTCGATAAAATGCGAACATCCTTCTGACTAAAAAATCAAAATGAAAAAAAATTGAATATTAAACACAGTGTTATCCTTAAATAGATGTGGGTGTACAACAGTTGAGATTAGTGCATTACAGAAGAGGAATGAACATCAAAGTTTTTAGTCAAATTAATTAATCACTTAAGACTTCCAATGATAACATTCGGCAGAAAAAATAGTTTAAAAACACTGTCTATTTTCCTCAAAGACTGTTAAATGTTTTCACCAATCTTTGTTTTCTCGACTTTTATAACCAAATCAGTGTTGCATGGGAGTTTAGCAGTTTAGACTGGCATAATTATATACAGGAATCTGTTTCCGTCTGTCAATCTGCTTTATTCATACCGTGGACCCGAGAAATAATACATTTAAAAGAGTACAATAATCACACTGTGTTTTGACTAATTTAAAAATATAATTTAATAACACTGACTTTTTAATGAATCTGTCTTGATTATGTGACAGTATAAGACATACATATTATCGACTTCATTCAGAAAGTTCAAATGCTTTAAAAGGCAAACCTTCTAGAAAATAAAGACAAACAGTATACGTTTGCATACGTTGTAACTATTTTCTAATCCTATGAAATCTTGTCCCTAAGCCCCTTGTAATCTATATTCGTACCTTCAAACTTTCATATCAAGTTGAAAATTATTATCACCTTCGTTACTTTGTGGAATTAAACAAATAATAATTATATCCATGTAAACTAATCTATTTAAATGCGATTGTACAGCTGTTGAGAATGAAATCGCCGAAAAGATATCTTTGCTGAACTTCGTGTTCTCTTCTTTCTAAAACAGTAGAAGAACTACAACTTCTTTCCTTTTGTGGTCACAAATACACCATACTAAAGAATATCAAGAAACACTTATTGCGATTACCTATAGCCATTTAAAACTGAATACAACCCAAAACTGGATAACAGTATTGCATTACACTTAATAACATTGTGTGCCAGACTGTGGCTGAATCATGCACAATTATAACAACATTTTCCGCAAAGTATATTTCTATCGTATTTGAGCTGTATTTTACAAATATCATGTTTTATTTTCATTATAGTTTCAGAATGTTTAAATAAATAATAATAATAAGAGATCGAAATTTGCGTCGGAGGCTCAGCAGCAGAATGCCCTCCACCCACGCGCATGTGGTCCGAGGTTCGACCACCAGGCGACACACTTCTAAACCTCGTTCAGCTGGTAGTAATCCCGATAGAGAGCGAAGATTGGGCATGAGACTAGCAGCCCTAGTTATAACAAATTGGCGACAGGGTTATTACAGTTCACTGATGTTATAACACCCACCGCATAAAAGGTCAACACCATTGCTAGTGAAACTTAAAAACTCAAGCTTGAATCTCTTTATTTCACTCGGAACACAAAGCGATAAAATTAAAATAAATAATAAAATACCAGAATGTTAGGATTAGGAAAAAACAATTTACTAGTTATCTACACTTTCGTTCACTTGATTCCGTAATATTTCAATGGTATCATCTGATTCTTGACAGTGCTGAATCAATCGTAAATTAGTGTCCTCTAAATCACGCATAATATTTAATATTTGTACAGGATTTGTAAAATACACGTTGTCATCCTAAAGGATTGACAGGAAAGTAAAAGACAGTAAGAAGAGACACAGAGACGACGGCAGACAATGAGGGCGTTTTCATGAGAAAGGAGTAGTGTTTATTTTAGTTGGATAAATTCTACAGTAGCCAGGAAATAAAATGTCAATTTCTCCAACTTTATACAGTTTTTTTTAAAAAAAGCAGACTTAGAAATAATGACAGCAAAATAATAATCGCATCTAAAAGTATAATAACTTTGTCTGACAAGTCTTTTTTTCATTACAGCTTGATTCCACACTATTTTTGGTACAAGTATGGAATTTTCAGAATGTGATATCGGTAGCCCAAATTTGCAGGCCGACCATAGATATCAGGTGTGCGCCGGCAGGGAATCGAACTTTGGACCATCTGCATGGTCGCGAGAGTCCTAACCACTGTGCCACCGACGCACAGTTTGTATTTTTGTTTTTAGAAAAGGAACAGTTACTGTGATCACACATGAGTGTACTTAAGAGAGGCAAAGAAATTTATTGCCAACCAAAAAAATCTCAACTTTAAGGTTGATGAACAGTGAACATTCCATATTTAATGGATACATCACTTAGTGAAACAGAATCATTTACTGGAGGGTATTTCAGACACAATATATTGTTCATAATTATATCATTAAACAGTTTTTCAGTTACAGGATTTCATCATGAGCTGACATTAGTTAGAGAACCACTGGAAAACCTGGGAGTACTGGACAGCTGTTTCATCCTAGTTTGGGACTCTTCAGCCGTCAGTTGTATACTCGCAATAGTCTCTTACTTTATTCTCCCCAATTAGACGCTGTCACTAGAAGAAAATTAGTTAACACCACCTTAGTTCGAAAGGATGGCTCGTACTTCCAGTGATTCAGTTTAGGCTAACAGAGATTACACATTGACTGTAGCTTACGAGCACTCAGTGTACAAGAAGGATGTTTATTTACCATATTCATATAAATGACGTTAATTAAAATTTTCAAGAAATGAAAACTGAAATAGTGAATGATTCCATTACCATTACCATACATATAGTGAAATATTTCACTGATTAATGCTACTTGCAACTAGTGAGGAGACCTTTTTAACGAATCTGTGGATTTGTCTTGTTTTTATCTAATGATTACAGCTATTTATTTACTAAAGAAAAAAGTCTTTCCGTATAATCAACCTCAGCAAGAGTCTATTGGTTTTCTCAAAATAAAAATCCAGACTTACGATTAAATTAAAAAGGAATAAAGCTTCTAAATTATGAAGTGGTGGATTACTTTTGATCATTCTACGCCGCTTTATCAGTGTTTCCTTCAAAAAGAAGCTAAAGGAAGGCGTAGAAGTAGGAGGTCTTTGCAAAACTTTCAAAAAGTTTTTAGAAGTCATAATAATTGTCCAGGAACGCTATGTTTCACTTTATAAAGTCGGGAATGACAACTGACTAGTGTTTGGTTGCATGCTTCCTATCTCCGTGCTCCACAATGAACCAGAAGAATAACATGTCGTAATTTCCCCTAGTTTCACCTAGCCCGAACTTATGACATGTGGTGCTTGTGGCACTTCAAAATAATCCTTTAAGTCCTTAGTCAACATTTTTATCCCACCAGTGGAGATTATTACCACATATCCTAAAATCGTGAAATAAACGTTTATTCATGTTAAATGAGGAATTTTGTAAATGTATTTGATCAACTAGAAAATACAAATAAACAACCAGGTGGTAATAAGTTGAAATGAGAGTGTGGATTGCTGAAGTGGAAATGATGTGTATGAATCTTATCATAATCAAATATCTGGTGTTTCATGGAACTCATATCAAATGGGAAAAGTTATAGTTTTTAAACAATACAGTATGCTACACCACAGATTTAAGTGTTTCCTACTTTCAACATCAACTTTCATCTCGGTAGCCCTTCTACTATTTTATTAACGTGTGAAACAAAAATTCGACAAATCAACACACAGGTTTTCGATTACAGCGTTCAGTCTCTCTCAACACAACTTCTCACTTCTTCATAGTACGTTAGCTACTGTTTAGTGCGAAGGGTTGCAGTTTAAATTTTGGTTTGAGAATTTAGCTTCAAAGATTTGAGTATGTTAGTATTTGGGTCTTTTGTGATTTCCATAAAGTAGTACACTGCATCACTTTTCACATATTTCCTGAAATACTTTTATGGCAGACTATATATATATATATATATATATATATATATATATATATATATATATATATATATATATATATAGAGAGAGAGAGAGAGAGAGAGAGAGTTAACAAATTAGTTTTGTTTACACGGAAAGTTTTTCTCAACAAATATATATACTTAATTGAATTTTTGATTTTCCCGTCGATTGATTGGAGTGAAGTGCTCGGTCTCAGGTTGACATGTGCACTGGGTTCGAGCCTCGGTGGCAACATCACCACTCACAGAGAAATGCAGGTACATCCAGATGACGAGTCCCAAATAGGACGAAATGTGCATCCTTGATTCCACTGCTAGTCACCATCCACCAATTAAATACTAATATGAATATTTATTTATATTTACTCAAAAGACGGATAACTTACTCTGTCTTCACTGCTTGAACTGTCATCGTATGGTTGAATCTCTTTCAATTTTTTCACTTCTTTAGACGGTGGTCTAAGACAGAAAACGGGTTGACATGAAATCTAGTATTTTGCAAAATATACTTCTGATAGTTATATACGGAATAAGAAATGTAAGCAATTCCTGAATTAAAAAATCGTATCAGTGAAGCGAAATTGACACTTACTGCACTCAAAGTGATACAACAGTAAAATAAGTTGTCATCAGTTTCTTAGAAATATTTAGGAATACAAAATAAGTGCAACATTTAAAGAGTATGTTGTTTAGTTGAAGGAAAGACAGACATCTTCTGGAATCAGAATAAGTCATGATAGAATTACGCCAAGCAACTGATTGCCGGTAAATATTTATCTCGTATGTTTTTCTTTTCATTTTTCCATTCTTTTGCTTTGTGAGTTGAACACAGAACTTCAAGCTTGTACTTTGAAGGTACCATAGTGGCAGTATTTTTTACAGGGTTCAGGAGTGAGTCGGCTGGGAATCGAACCTGAACCACCATCTCATGTACAAGCTTTCAAATGTAACCTTTTATACTTTAGAGACTATTATCGACTACTGGCTATTACTGATATGGCTTGTCTTACAGGCTTATATGTATTCATTTACCAGTTTATTACCCTGCGTAAATGACTAATTTGAAAATCAGCCCACTTTTGTAAGTGCATAATACACTGTACAAGAAGACATTATTTCCTTATAGCAGACTATAGATAATTGTGTTTACCTGTAAAAGATGCATACTGTAAACACAATATTGACTAACTTCAACTGTTTGTAAAATTTCGCTTTATCAATAGTTTTTTTCCACTCATAAACTTTAAAACGTTACAGCTTTCAGTGCTATTCTTAAACTGAATTAACAGAAGTTACTGCATGGTTTTATATGATTACATCAAGTAGTAGAATTCAGGTGAGTTAAAATTCTGACTTTTGGATTCTGTAGCACAGTGGCCAAGTTTGTCAGTATGCTTAAGCATCTAATTCAACGCCTAAAGGTAATACTGATAGTTGAGAACTTTTGCAGTAAATTCTTCAGTTCCTTCAAACATCTATAAAGTCACTGTTGGTAATTTCCTTAATTTGTATGATAGAAGCAAATGTATATTATCGATAACCCTACAACATTCCAGTCTTTTTAAGAATTAAAAGGTTATTATATAAACCTCCCTTTTAATTCAGCTTTACAAAACTATTAAAGCTTACTGTAATAAATAAACACTTTGTGTTCACAACTTATTTTTATCAAACACTCATGTAAAAAGAGAACTTACGTAGTTGCGATTGACATTAGTGATGATCTTCTAGTTAAAACGAAAGATGGTCTCCGATTAGATTTTTCACTTGAAGCTGTTGATTTTTTTAGAGAGAGATTTAAAAAAGTGGACTGCATTCTATTGTTTATCCAAAATATTATTTTTAAGTTTTATTCTCGATCATTGTAACACATTTTCTTTTCACTCTTTATGACTTCCTACCTTTTTGTGTTAGGCACTTCTGTGTTAACAACGTCTATCTGCTAATTTTGACTCTCTGCTCCTTTCTCTATCTCAGTATATGTATATTTATATATATAAACTCACACGTAACATAACAAAATATTTATAGAACTCTACAGTTCATACAACCTAATCAAGGTAGTAAGGATAGAAGCTTGAGTATAAGCTTAGATATATCTTTACTGCGAGGATATATCGATAGGGTTCTTCAGAATTGCATATGTTGAGTTTTCTGAACATCTCATACATTAATTAATGGATAATCTTTACCAATTAAGTGTCTCCAGAATTCTAATATGCACAACAAGTCCTAAGCCCCATGAAACAGTAATTATTTTATATTGTATTAGACCACAGAAGTGAGTTAAACAAAAATAAAACGTGAATGCCGGAAGTTGTTAATCTCAATGCTTTATTCTCCACTGAACTCAAGCGCATATTTGAAAGTCACATGGAGTATTAATTTATTCTAACATGTCAGATATAACCACAAAAATGTATCTAAGACAAAATCAAATTTACTATTCATATGAAGGTGTGAAAAAACGAGTAAACCAACAGTATAAAAGTCTAGAGATTTTATCATCCTATTCCCCTATGCCTATGCATCTGACTCTATATTTTCTTGATGTGGTTTTGTTCTCTGAGCTGGATGGTTAGTTTGCGAAGCTTTCATCACCTTACTGGGTGACATCTTCAGCGGATACTTCAATTTGAAGTGAGCTTTTAGATTTCTCCACGAGTTTATTAATCATGTCTCCTGGTAACCTTGGACGTGATTGGTTGTTTGTGTGTGTTTTCACACCTTCTAGGTTACTTGTATTGGAACTGATTGTTTCTTTGACTTGAACTTTGACCCTTTGTGTGTGAAGTTTCTTTCTTATTGGTTGATAAATTTTGTCTATCTCGATATGTCTATTGATTGATGATTCACTGGAATGCGAAGCTTCTAAAAATTCCCTAGCATTCTTGTTATTTCCTTTGTCTAATATTTGAACGTCGTCCCAGTCGAATTAATGTCCGTGGTTGTCTGTGTGTAGTGAAATGAGGGAGTGGATATCATGTCTTTTGACGGCTAGCTTATGTTCGTGGATACGAAGACGACTGCGAAAAACACTACATTGGCCAAAGTGGACGTCCCCTTCGTCTTCGTATCCACGATCATAAGCTAGCCGTCAAAAGACATGATATCCACTCCCTCATTTCACTACACACAGACAACCACGGACATTAATTCGACTGGGACAACGTTCAAATATTAGACAAAGGAAATAACAAGAATGCTAGGGAATTTTTAGAAGCTTCGCATTCCAGTGAATCATCAATCAATAGACATATCGAGATAGACAAAATTTATCAACCAATAAGAAAGAAACTTCACACACAAAGGGTCAAAGTTCAAGTCAAAGAAACAATCAGTTCCAATACAAGTAACCTAGAAGGTGTGAAAACACACACAAACAACCAATCACGTCCAAGGTTACCAGGAGACATGATTAATAAACTCGTGGAGAAATCTAAAAGCTCACTTCAAATTGAAGTATCCGCTGAAGATGTCACCCAGTAAGGTGATGAAAGCTTCGCAAACTAACCATCCAGCTCAGAGAACAAAACCACATCAAAATCATCCACCTGAGCTACAAATCTTCTCTATCATATCTATATTTTCTTTCTATTTTAAAAACAATAAATATAAAGCTTTCTTTCGAACACTGGGTCCAAAAGTCACCTGGAACAATGATCTTAGGACTAATTTGACACGAACGAAATATTTCCATATTCAGCCACAAAAAAGCGCCAACAGAGAAAACAATTTTCCTCTCGACGATTCATTTTCATGAGCTGTACAATCGTAATTATAATTAATAAAGAAATCTTTAGACCAATCAGATAATGGTAAACTTTGTCCTTGAAAATTGTACTACATAATGTAAGGTGTAAGAAGGGTTGACTAATTGTAAGTTAGAAAGGGGACAGAAGTTGGCATGTCTTAACAAGTGTGAGATAATGACTAATCAATAGGCTCGTGTAGAATGGACAGAAACTAGTGGAAAGACTATAAAGTGTTTTTGTATAAAATCTGTATGAAAAAGCAATGTTATTAATAAACAGCAATAGAGTGGTAATAAAATGTGGATGATGGGAATAATAATGATAATAAAAGTATTAATAATAATAATAGTAATAGTGAACTTACATATTAAAGGAAAGAAGCAAAATTATAGTAAGAACTTTACTCTGGCCATGGTAGGGCAAGATAATGTATTTATCGCTTTTGTATGCGCAGGTCCGGTTTCAGATCTCGAAAAGCTAATGCTTCAGCTATGCACAGATGGCGTATCCGAAGTCCCTTTGTACGATATTGAGGGACTCTGTGTAACACTGTGAAGCATTCATGTGGGGGTGCTCGATGTCCGGAGATGACAAGGTGTTCGAGGATCGAGCTGTTGTTATTCTTCTTTTCTCCTCTGGCTAACCAAGCTGGGCAGTGTTCCAGAATACGTTTGTGGACTTGACGTTACGTACGGCCGATATACTTTGCTCCACACGAGCAAGTAAATTAATAAATACACATTGAAGTGAACAAAAGCGGTATCTTGTCCTTAGCGTTAGACTAGATTAACTGTCTGCAAGAAAGTGTGATACGTGTAGAGTGGTTGTTGGATATGTCTTCAGACTTTTAGAAAGGCGGCATTTGAAAATTTCCGCTGCGATATCGCTTTTGAGTGCTACGTTCATGAAGAGAGTCTTCTTAGGAACCGTTGTGATGTTTGACACCGGAGGCATCTCCTTCATGATTTATCGATAAAACTTCGTCGATACACATTCTCTAGTGGGGTTTCACGTAATAAATTTAATTCTACCTCTACCATGTCTTCCGAGAACCATTTTCTAATCCTTGAACACAACAGACAAAGACCTCTTGGATTCAAGTCCTCCACTTTCAATGGCCGTGTTTCACAGCCATAAAGGTAGACAAAGAGAAATTCTGAGCAGTGCACACGTCCTCTGATCGTTAGACGGACGTCAC